CCCCCAACAAAAAAGAAAACCCAGAAAAAAACAAGCCTCAGTTTGCCCCCTTTGCGACCTAGATCTTTGATTGACAACGAAGCCCAGGGCCTGCTCAGAGTTCAGACAGACAAGATCACTTTGACCTTTTACCAACCCATGGCTATGAACAACGTTGTACTGATACTAGTATTATTATACATTATAACATTATTTGATCAGCAAGTAGCTGGCAGCATCATGAAGAGCTAGAATCTAGTTACTGGGTTTCTAATATCTCTGGTGTGTGTACTGCGTAACAGTCTCATCTTTAGAGGTTTCTGGTGGCGTTACCAGTCTGGTGTTACATGAATTGTCACGATGACATTGAACGTTTCACCCTAACCCTTCTCCAACCCTCCACTATTCTCGGTCATGCCCTTCTAAAATTGACTCTTTTTAGTCAGTCTGTGTTTACACATGCAAAGAATAACAGGTTCCTTCTGGGTAAAATTGCAGTACACGCCACAGTAAAAAAACGTTAAGGAGAAGTGTGGTCAACATAATTAGTAGCGCAAAACCTTAATGACGCGGAATCAGCTTTAGAGGCAGGCAGTAGAGAAATGAGACAGAAAGTGTTTATTCAAGAAATTTACCCAATCATTAGTAACAGGCAAACACGTTGGCAAGATGCTTAACTGTTTTTAAGCCCCAAAAACATCCATTTTCGGAAAGAGAGAAACAGAATCCTTTCATTCTTTTCAAAGCTGTACCTAAATATTGTATCTTTTCTGGCTTTTTTCATCATGTAGAGTTTGAATTTCAACAAAATATTATTATTATTTCTGGAGCACATGACATGTAGCCGATATCACATATTAAAAAACTGCAATAACAAGAATTCAAAATTTGGGCTTTGTACACCCTTGCCGTATGTTGGTCAAAATAGTTCAATTGACGACAATGCAAAAATTGAAGCTGTTATTATAACTGTTTTTGCTGTCTCAACTTTGGAACCCCCACTCCATTAAGTTGGGGTGTGAGTGAAAAAAGTTTTCTAGACTCCACCATGCTTTCTGGATTCTACAGATCAGATGCAATTTGATGCTTTCTGTTTTGACGCTACGGTAACTACAAGTTGAAGTCGGAATCTCATTAATAATCTTGAACCGCCTGTAACGTTGCTTTCCTGTTGGCTAGGGGAGCTACTCTACTTATATGTAGTCCAACCCGATAGCGCAGCCGTCGGAACCTGCACTGTACGTACGGCAACAACTGCAATCATCAGTCATTCACGAGAGACTGAGCAACTCAGGTGTTTGGCCAAATTTTAATGTTCTCCGCTTTGATCAGGTGAGAGGTCGGCAGACAGTTCAGATATTTTTAGGCTGACCTTGGCCTTGCAATTACGTGAGAGAAATTGGTCGCTTTTAAGCACAAGGGGGCTATCCCGAAAAATGCTGTTTTGAGAAAATCGAAGGTAAAGTTTTTGCCCCTTGTTCAGTTTCTAAAAGACGAGGAGAGTTTTCTCTTAAACCAAACGAATATATACGCCAATGAAACCAAATTTCTCCCCATGCACATTTTTGGTGTAAGTCAAGATTTCTGGAGACCCCCGAAATCTGGGTTAGCCCGCTTGTCCTTAATATTGACCAATTAACGGAAACAGCAACCTTTCTATCGGAGACGGCGGTGGTGGGGGCAACTGAGCGCCGCTTCCCAAAACACGCCAGCTGGCATTCAGTTACCCTGAGGTGAGCTCAGACAGGCGTATCTAATTCCTGTATTTCAGGTGGACAACATTACTCGGTGCCGTGTAAGAGCAGTGTTCGCTCACATGTTTGATAATCATGGGGCCCAGAGAGAACCAAAACCAAAACAAAACCAAAAAAGCGGAAAAGTAATTTTGGGTGCGTCCTTTGAGAGTAATGCTTATAGACCACTTAAAAAGGTTTTAGACATTTTTTTCGAGTAGAAAATTGCACTAAAAGTCTAGTTCTGTTATTCAGACACGGGTGAGGAGATCTTTCTACGTCATCACGGTTCTTAGGTTCGCCTACAGGAATTTTGTTGTAACGAGAGAAATTTGTGGGAATTTCCATTAAAAAAGCAACGGAAAACAAAACGAAACCAAACAAAAAATGTAACACTGACGTCATATGCTAAATTCGGAGTCCCACTTCTCTGAAATTAATAAATTCGTAAATAACTTCTAGACTGGTTAAAACATAGCTTCATGATATTCAACCGACCAAATGCCACATTGCTTGAAAAAAACAAACAACAGACAACAAAAATAAATAAGCTCAAGTATGTATAAAGCAGCAAGCACATTTTCATACTTAAAATAGCTAACATGTATACATACCAACTCTCCCTCCCCCAACACACTCACACACATCCACCTACCCGCATACACCCACTCAAAAACAGCAAATAAATAAACACACACACACACACACACACACACACACGCACACACACACACACACATACACACACAAACACACTTGCACGCGCGCGCAGAGACACTTACACACGTGATTTACCGAACTCCAGCACACTTAAAACACTTTCACAAAGCACAATAATGTTTTGTATAAATTGAAATTATATTATGTTTATAACTCGCCCACGGTGCCTTGCATAAGTCTGAGCCCAGTACAACAGGAAACAGGAAACATACCTTTGTTCCGTCCGCTCCTGGGATGCCAATCATGCCAGCTGGGCCGACGGGGCCCTGAAAAAGACACAACATTGAGAAAGAGATGAGTGTTACAGTAACATAGTAGCTTTTATGTATAGTGCTGTAATTAGCATGCTGGCAACCTCCCCTCCCCTTCCATCCCCTCCCATTTTCACCCTCACCCGTTCCGACTAAAAAACAAAAATAAAAACAAAAACGAAACAAAATAAAAGCTAACAAACAAATAAAATACACACCGATTACGGGCACACTAATCATATAAATAACAATCATTTTAATGGAATTTCTGGGTTTCGTAGATTTTTTATATTATGACTGTAAACAACCAAGTGATGTGGTGCTCCAGGCAACATGGCATGCCACATAACGCAGGGGCACTCCTAAATCCTAATGCTACTCATTGCTACCGCTAGTTTCACATCGTAGCCTCATTACAGCTTCCAGTTCGGAGTGAAAGAGTTAAAGAGAAAAGATAAGGCAATCGGATAAGTAAGACTTGAACGAAAGAAAAATTAGAAAGGCTGATTAAGTACACGGGAAAGGACGGCAGGAGATAGAGATGAAGCCTTAATTTACAAACACTGGGTCGGTAAAACGGTTGAAGAAGCACAAGGTAGCTAAATGATATGATTAACAAATGAGATACATCAACCGATAAGAGCACCTCACAATTATGCCAATTCGGAATTAGATAAACCTTGCCATTAACGCCATAATTAACATGGGGAACGGCAGACAAGAAAAGGGGGAAGTCCCATGACACGAACGCCGGAGAATAGCGTCCTCATGTGCCACGAAAAGGTTAAAGAAATTCTCAAATACCTCAACCAGCGTTCGGCATGGCGCCCCGGCCTCTTCCCTGAAAAACCCCCCAAACCCAACCACCCAAACCCAGATCCAAACCAAACCAAACTAAAACCCCCAAAACAACAACAGTAAAACGAATAAAACACCATAAAAAGAGACAAAAAGCCGCAGCTCACATGCTAAACGTATACGAAGAAGGCGCTTGTGTCTATCACACGTGAAGGGCAAACTTTGCTGCGGGACGCATGATGATTAGAAGGAATGTAGCTACGTGTCGAAATGTTGGCCCGCAGGGGTGAGATGGTTTTCTTTTCTCGCCCCAACTGTTATTCCAAAACTCGAGACGCTGCCTCAAAAGTGTGCACAATGGCTGATTCGTGACTATCACCTTAGACCCTAACAGGAAACAGACAAAACTTCGACATCATCGTCAACAGAATCAGACACGGGTAAGAAGAGCAACAGCAGCGACAGCAATAGAAATATTTAGAAGCAGCAACAGCAAAAGCAATTATTACGACCAGCGTCTGTGGTGTGGCGGTTAGGAACTCAGCTGTCGCATACATGAGATCATGGTTCGATTCCCAAGTGGGGACAATTTTTATCCTTTATCTCGGTCTTAATGTTGGAATGTTGTATCCCTCTCAGCGTGGGTTGGCCGTGACAAACAGGGTAGGAATTCCGCCTCTTAGATAATCTAAAGTGTGTCGATGGGGGTGTTAAGAAACCTACACTAAAACAAAACACAACCCCAAACAAACAAACAAACAATCACACCAAAGACAACACTGAGAAGAAAACAATTACCCCACCTACACAGCCCCACCCCGTCCCACTTAAACCTGCCCTCTCTGAGTGGATCCAGGAACACTCTCAAACTTGTCAATGTCGGGAGACTATATTTCGTTTAGTTTATGTCAGAGCCCCAAAAACAGTAGTCTATTCTGAATTGTCCCTAGGAAGTGTAAGCGTAACAAAGACACTCTAAACATGTCTCTGAAGGACTACAACGTACAAGTACTTTGACATTGGAGAGCTCAGCTCGTGACAAACCCAACAGAAGAGCAGAAGTCACAGTGGGGAGCAAACCAGAATGAGGCTTCACGAATAAGAAATGCTGAAACCGAGAGAGAAGCCCGCAAGCTGGGCACATCCACAAGTTGAAGAGAAGCTTTTAGATGTTCAAAATGTGGCAAACTTTTCTCTGCCCGAACTGGTTCCATTGACCACAGGAGAATCTACGGTCACCTTAACCTTTAATTCTTCCAATAAGAGGCACCGTGGTGAAATCAGGTGCTCGTCAATATGATGAAACCGAAGAAACTGGCCTTTTCCCCCACCGATTTCACAATTTTTATCAAATCTCGTTTTTGTTTTGCTTAACACCTTTTTCCATCAATTTAAAAACATATTTCTGCCTCAGTTTTACTGAAAAATGTTGATCAAAAGCATAAAAATATAACTTTTTCGTATCCAAGGGCTCTCAATCTTTGGATTTCATCAAACTTTGACAGGCACTTTCTCGCTATTAGCATCTCTGAAACCAGACGACTCCTTTCCCCTCCAATCGCTATTATCTCGACTTCTGTTCAAAATCGATGAACATTTTTTTCATCATAAGCAACACAAGTGAACAAGCTTTAAGGTGATACCAAGAACATTATATGCCTAAAATTAAAGAGCGCCTGATTCCACTGCGTCATGACACACCGTTTTCTATTTTGCTTGAGAATTATTTTCCACTGCAGATGTATTGGTCATCGTCACACATTGGCGGACTAACTATTGTTACTTATACAGCCATTGTCGTGAGGCAAACAGTCTGACTTTATTAACTAGGATCTATAGTGTTCCGACGTGGTGGAATCAGAATCAGGCACTCGTCAATTTTTGGGCACGTGGAGTTTTTGGTATCATCTTCAAGCTTGTTCGTTTGTCTTGCTTTCAATGAAAAAAATACTCATCTGTCTTGAATTGAAGTCGAAATATTTGCGATTGAAGGAGGTGAGGTTAGACTGACGTCAAAGGCAAAATTTGCGAGAAAATGGCTGCTAAATTTTGGCGATTTCCATAGCACGAGAGTCCCTAGAAACTAGAAATTTACATTTTTTTGTGACTTTAGTCAATGGTTATAAAGTTCACACAGAAATGTGTTCTCAGATATACATAAAATGTGTTATGCCAAAAATAGAGAAATGGATAGAAAATGCCAAACCGGCGGAAAAAAATGACGTTTCTTCTATTTCAATTTTGACCAGCGCCTGATTTCACCACGGTGCTTATAACAAATCGTTACTCACGACAGCATTAAGAACTCTTCAATTAAAATGCTGGTAGCCTTATTCATCTTAGTGGGTGGGCTTTTAGGTGTCTGTGGGAGGCCGTGGGTCTTTTGTTGAGTGGAAGAGTGAAGGCTTTTATGCTCGAATAGATTGACCGGTTGAGTGGATGGTGCAAAAACGTGTCGGATCAAATTAAGCCTATTATTCCTTGAAATAATTTAAAACATGTGGTTTACATATCAAAACACGTTCCTTTTACTTGCTGATGAATGGAGCATGACAAACAAGAAGGAGGAAACGTATCATGGTGGGCCACTTTGGAATGAATAATTTGTACAATTTGAAAACTGAATTTTATTACTGGCCAAAGACCAGAGACCCGAGAATTCTTTAACGACTGCTTTCTAAACATCATTTTTTTTTCAAAAACGTTGTTATGGCAAATACTATAGACACCGTTCTGTATTTAAGCAGAACTATCATATTCAATAGCTTTGGACACATTAGGACGCTGGCATCGGGTCATAATTGACGTTATCCTTGTTCAATGCTGTCTTTAACAAGTCGGACAGTCGCACCCCTCAGTAAAAGTAACCGGTGACATTTCGATCTAGCAACTCAGTCTTTCTGTTGGGATACTGCATCCCTCTCATCACGGGTTCGCTCTGACAGGCAGGGTTGGAAACTCGCCTCCTAACTGGTCTAGATTGTGTCGACAGGAGCGTAAAAACACTAACATTTAAAAAGTACAAAACAACAAAACAAAAAACCCCCAACCAAACAAACAAAAATAACAC